CAAAAACGTGACTGACTTGAATAGCTGGAAAATAGTGAATGAACATATGTGAGGAAATGCTGCAGCTGTAAGGCTAGTGGTCTGGATGTATGTCCCCATCTTCGGTTTGGCAGCAGCCTTTTTCAGATATTATTATTTAGTATCAAAATACTATACTCCCAGTTAATAGAGCATGCTTCACATCACATGGACTCTTCTCAGCACCTCTGGCCATGCAGACATTCTGAGTTTGCCATTTATGAGGAAGGGCAACCTCTGGTCATATGCATATGTTATACATGCACGCATTTCAATCCAGTATATTAGTAAACTCTGTTGGGTCTTCCTCTTCCCAGACTGCACAGCCCAGTAAACTCCTGGTTCAAGAAACACCTGTGCAGTTAGTATTAGGATATGTAGTGGTAATGATATCACATGAGTTCATATCATATCATAGCAAGCTGTGACTCTGACTTCAAAAAAAAGAATAAATAGCCATGAGAGCTGCTGGGATTGTACCCAGCAGATTGACTCTTAAAGCTCTCTGAAATAGTTTAGCAAAACATTTGAGCAACCACAAATGAACAAGTGTGGTATCACCATCCAGGAATGAAATCATAAGTGAATTCATTGAGTGGAAGATGCATTCTATCTTTCCTTCTTGCAATGTTCTTCTTTATGAGTGGATTGCAGAACCATCCCAATGTCGATGTGAAATAATCTCAGAACAGATATTTGCCACTTGTTTTAATGTTTGATTTTTCTGAAATCAGTCCAACCAGAATATGTTAATAGGATAAGTATGTTGCAGCTCACACTTGGCCAGCAAAAATAACTAAGTAAAAAATAACAGCTAACTGCAAGGATATCTGTTGTTCCTTGCTAACATTTGACACATTTCCTAAACAAGACTGTGGCTTTGTGCTGTGGGGCTGAGCTCAAAAGGAGCTACATCGAATTGTTCTGACTCTGAGAATTTACTGAATGAGAAGACTTTTATCTCATGTGTTTCTACTGGATTTAAAAGTAGAGTGCCATCAGTTTCATTTTGCATAACTTAGCATTGTGAGCAAATTGTCGCCAATAGAATAGTGCTGATCAATAAAGGCAGGGATTTATTTACAACTAGGAAAATGACATGTTATCCTCCTCTGCCACCCCAGGGTACTTACATTGTGCAAAACTTGGTATTGTAAAGGAAACGTCATCGAAATGATGGGAGCATCCACTAATGAGAGGGATTTATGAACAATTGGAAAACTTGATGGCAGTCTATGGGCTGAGACATAATAAATACACAGTGAAGCACTTTATGCAATAGGCAGGTATGAGTAGATTAACTGAACTATTCAGATAAGCTCACACATGCAAAGATGGGAAAATTAGAGTCACTGAACTAACTTTGGCTGTAGGTCATGTTTTTGTTGTCTATAGGAGCTGATGGGCGGGTTCCCAGTCAGTAAAATGTGGTGCTTAAAGCCAAGCTATTCTTTATTGTAAACTCAAGGCACACTGAGCTCATGCACACTCCCCTACGCTTCTCCCCTTCTGGGCATTTCAAACTGAGCAAAACGTATGCCGCTCCCAGTGCTTTGGTTTCATATAAAAACAGTAAGTAAAGTCAGCTGCATTTGACTGCAGTTAATTTTGATTAATTAACGTTTGGTTCCTGTAGAACTGTGCTCACTAATTCAAGTGAGCTGCCATCAAATATTAATGAACAGTAGATCAAGTTGTTTTATTCTTCCATGTGAACCTTGCTGCTTTTTTTACAGTGGATCAGATATTTGGACCCGTTGAGAGTTATACTTATTAAATGGCATCTGTGTGGACCTCTGACTACAAGAGAACCTAAAATACAAAGCGTTTATGCTGCCATTTTCATTCTAGAGTTCACATAAGCTTAACCTTATTGGTGCACGCACCCATCTCAATGAGAGCAGAACGTAGCTTTGATTCTTCCATAATTTTGGCAATGCAATTGTGCCAGCATTTCAATGTAGTCTTGCAGTCAAGGACCTCTGAAATTCATGAGTAGAATACAAGCAAAGTAATACATTATTGATAGAGGACAATATGAGAAATAAGGCCAAGTGATAGATTAGAATGATGGTGGATTTGTCTAAAGATGATGTGATGTTAAACAGGTAATTATTGAGTATTTCATCTTTAATATTAAGAAATAGCAGAGCTATTAGGGTGGCCCTGAAGATGCTGGCTGCTAATCTTTGAATCAATTATAATATAAATGTTCATAACCAGCAAGCAAATATATTAAAAACTAGCTCATGAGGACACAACCCTGGAAAGGACTGGTTAATCTGTATTGTGCTTTCTGGTAAATCAGTAGATGCTACAGCTCCAAATGTGTCATATTTTAGATACAAGGTTCCCATTGGATCCACGTAAATAGGAGAGAGGTTTCAGGAACTATGAGATTACCTCAGAACTGGATTAAGTCGAGCAAACTGCAGAATTGTGATCTAAACTGGGGCCATGCTATTGATCACACTATATTTTCAGCTTTGAGGTACAGCTTGAAGAGTCAGTAGGACAGAAACCTCCTATCTGTTGGTTGCAAAGGCCCATCTGAAATGGTTGTGAAGTCAGTTCTTCTTGTGGAGGTAAACCTGCTTATGGGATTGTCATAGTTCAGCATCATTTGACAGTAATTTGGCAATCTCCTGAAAACCATTAGGATAGCTACAATGGGAAGTTGAAAATACTGTTACAGTTCAGTGATTGAGCTGCTTTTCCTGGACAGAGTGACTCTTGGTTTCCTCACTTACATATCCTGCTGTCAGATCCACTCAGTTTAAATATGCTTCCAACAGACCCTGTACATATTGAATTACTTTCTCTGCCCTCCCTACCACGGTTCTTTCCCCCTTTCATTTTAAGCTATTTACACTACAGTTGGGAGAAGTTGCACCATTGGGCAGCTTTCAATAACTTAACAATAGTCGTACATTGTAATAGTGCCATTGCAGCTTTAACTGTGTGCAGCTGTACATAGCACCAAGTGAAACAGGCAGTGTGATGTAAACACATAAGTACACATATAAATTGCACCAACAGAACCATAACTGGCAGAAAGCAAATCCTATGGGTATGATTCACTTTCCAATAAGCACTGTGGTTCTTGTTGGACTTAGTTTGGTTTAGAATGTTTTTTTGGATTCTTTCTTGAGGGATTGTCTTATGTCCACACTAACCATTATCTCAAATACATTAGAGCACTTTAATGTGGGAATTTTCTTTTAGTGTATTAAAGGATGTTGGGTGTACATGACGAATAGCTCTGACTTCCTTGTGAACAAAATTAGCTTTGCAGAAGATGGGAGTCCCTTTGTGCTTGAAATAACAGGATGTGTAGGAAGCTATCTCTTTTTCTCATGCACTGTTAACTCTACCCTGTTTCCTTGGGCCTTTCTTTTTTTCTTTTAAGTGTGAATTCAGCTCATTCCAATAGATCTACCCATTCGAGAATGTTGTAAAGTTCAAATGCTTGGCTGTCTTAGATTGTAATTCCCAATCAACTAGCGAAGTGAGACAGATTGCAAGTAAATCATATTTGGAAACACTTTAGTATAAACATCGGGCATTTGGGTGGTCCTTTCAAAGCATTGACAGCATTGTATTTCCCTTGGGTCTAAGTGTCTGCCAGTTATTTCAAGAATTAGTTGGCGTAGTAACCTGAAGTCAATATTGGTTTACATCATTATTGGAAGCCATGCATGTTTCTTATCTCGGGTTGTGTTTTTCTTAAATAAAGCTTATTTTTCCTTTTTGCTTTTTCTTCCCTTGCCCTGTCTGTTCTAGTCCTGGTGAATTATGTGCAGATATATCGCAGTGAGATAGCATTCAAGTGAAAGACTGTTGAATTGTAAAAATGCATCTTGCCTCTGCTAAAGTTTGCTGTTCAATCCCCACTTAAGAACAGAGGAATCCTTTCAGAAGCATGGCTGATGACCTGAAATATCAGCCTGAATTACTAAACCCTCATTGAGGTGGGCAAAGGCACCTATTTATGAGTGGGTTGGTCTGTTTACACTATATTGTGTTGCTTTGCTGGATTTGTTTAGTATTTTAAATGTTTAAAAGGCGAATGAACATTTGTCATTCTGGTCATTTCACTAAAATTAGTTATTACAGCTTGCCACATCCATCAATGACATACTATGAGCAAAACTTAATTTTGCTCGAATATGGAGAGAATCAAATTTTGATCTTTTATAACGACTTACAAAATAGATTTGTTGCTATATTTTAATTTTGTTACATCTGTAAGTAAGAGAACTGGCATCATCCTTCTTAATTTCTTAAGCACGTCACCCTTATTGGATATACAAAGATATGATGAGATTGCGCCCATCTCACCAAAGACAAGAGTTGAGATCTGAATGTTTCAAAAGCTGGCATTAATGAGGTTTGAAATAACAAGGTGTAGAGCTGGATGAACACAGCTGGCCAAGCAGCATCAGAGGAGCAGGAAAGCTGACGTTTCGGGCCTAGACCCTTCTTCAGAAATGGGGGAGGCGAAGGGGGTTCTGAAATAAATAGGGAGAGAGGGGGAGGCGGATAGAGGAGAAGATAGGTGGAGAGGAGACAGACAGGTCAAAGAGGCAGGGAGTAAAGGTGAGTGTAGGTGGGGAGTTAGGGAGGGGATAGGTCAGTCCAGGGAGGATGGACAGGTCAAGGGGGCGGGATGAGGCTAGTAGGTAGGAGATGGGAGTGGGGCTTGAGGTGGGAGGAGGAGATAGGTGGGAGGAAGGACAGATTAGGGAGGCGGGGACAAGCTTTAGTTTGTTATCTGTTCGATTGATTTTCTTTTGGCGCACTTACTTTCAGGGTGGGTCAATTGAATGAGAATCAACTTCTAAATATAGAAAATATGTTTATAGTATACCAGCAAAATTGAAAATACACACCAAATACTAAAATAGTCTTTTAAGAGTCTGCTTTAATTTTTAACCATTTTTCTGAATGTTAACTTTCAGTGCGTTTTTTTTGTGTTTCAGTATATACTGTCTCAGCCGAAGTTCTGGGCCATTCAGGTGACCACCCTAATGTTGAGAACAAAACTAGAGAAAGGTAGCCCTCGTCGGATTGAACGTGCAATGATGCAGACACAGGTAGGACATTGCTGCTACTGTGGTTACAAAAATATTTATTAACTTTTACAAATAACATGAGAATTGGGCAGGATGTCTGTCAGTACATCCCTGTCTATCTGGTGTGCAAAGGAAATTGGCCCATTAAAATGTCCAGTTTGTATGAAGCAACATCCTGAGCAGTGACCTACAGCTATAGATCCTGTGGATAATCTGTTCTGGTAAGTAGAAACATCCTGATTGTTTGCATAAACTCTCTCATTCACCCCACCCACTCTGAGTCATGTAGGAAACCAGCCGATCCCGCTGGTGCTATTGAAGCTCAGAAAGTTAACATGGATGCTCTAATTCTTGAATGTTTTGTTTGACAAGTGATTTGTTGGGTTGAAATTCCTCTGAGAAATTAGGAACTGGAAGTATTTATTTTGCATGCCATCAGTGTCTAGAATCAGGAAATCAAAATTAAGTAGGGGCATACATCAGTGAGGCACAGATCTTGTTGTCTAATGAAGCTTTTATTGCAGCAAGTAACATGCCAATATAGAATGCACTTTCATTTATATAACACTTTACTTCACTGCAGCTGACCCACAGCAATTGAAGTGCTCTTGAACTGTTCTGAGGAAGGGTCACTGGACCCGAAACATTAACTCTAATTTCTTTACACAAATGCTGCCTGACCTGCTGAGCCTTTCTAACAATTTCTGTTTTTGTTCTACCACTTTTGTAGTGTAGGATGTATATATATATCAATGAGATATATTATTAGATAATTACCAGGTATCAGATTGTCCATGGTGTTGGTTAAAGGATAAATTACAAGACCAGGGCAGAGAACTTCAGCAATAGTGTTGGTACTCAATTTCTAGCATTAAATCTCTCTGTGAAAATTAATGGATTTTAGAATTAGAATTAGAATTAGCTTTTATTGTCATGTGTACTCACTTGTATGAGCAACTTACGGCAATATCTTAGGTACAAATGTACCTAGGCACAGAATCTTAGTACGAAGCAGAAAAACAAAAAAAGCAAGCCAAGAAGTTAAGCATTACAGTCATTCTTACTAAAGCGTAGACAAAACAAAGAAACACAGTTAATAATTCAACATCACAGTCCTGGGCTCATATTCCTCTCAAGGCTTGACTTCGCCCTCATCACCACCTCAGGCTGCCTGCTCCCACTCCCACTCCCACTCTCGCTGTCTCTCTGACCACCTCAGGCTGCCTGCTCCCGCTCTCGCCGCAGATCCTGAGGCTGCCTGCTGCCGCTCCCACCGTCGGCCTCCTCAGGACATGCTGCATCTGTGATGCTCCGCAGCTGCTTCCCTATGTGCTGCTGCAGGTCTCTTCCCTGCGCTGTTCTGCGGCGCACGCTTTTGTAGGGCCCACTGCTTTGGGGACTTGCTGCTGGCACCTGCCACTGCAGTTTTCACCTCCGGTGCTGAGGAGAGAGAAGAAAGAAAAGAGAGGAAAAAAAAGGAAAAAGGAGGAAAAAGAACAGACGGAGCAGAGGAGCTCCAACAGGAGCGTCCTACACTGC